CCAGACCTAAGTTTTAAGTAGTCCTTCAGCTCCTGACTCCAAACTTCTCTCTCTCGCCCTGACTTCCCCTAAGTTCCAGGCTCATATGTCCAGTGCCATACTTGCCACTTCTTCCTGATCTATAATAGGTATCTCAAAATTAACATATTCGAAACAGAACCACGATTTGCCTAGCTATGCAAGTTGTCTTTAATAGTATCATATGCCTGGCCTCATATTCAACCCAAAGCAAGTACTGTTGGATCTGCCTCCAAAATATATCTTGAATGTGTCTGCTTTTCTCCAGGCTCGCTGCCCAGTCTTCCTCCATCCACCGTTTCCTCTGACCTGCGGTAGCAGGACACAGGCGACCTTATTGCTCTCTCCCCAAAGCAGAGCGGTATTTTTTTCAAAAGATTTTATTTATTTCAGAGACAGAGTGCACAAGTCGGGGAGACTGGCCAAGGGCGAGGGAGAAGCAGACTCCCTGCTGAGCAAGGAGCCTGATACGGGCTCGATCCCAGGACCCTGGGATCATGACCTGAGCTGAAGGCAGCCGTTTAACCGACTGAGCCACCCAGGCGCCCCTGGAGTGATGTTTTTTTAAAACCTAAATCATATAATCATATAATATCACTCCCCTGCTTAAACCCCTTCAGTAGCTTCTCTTTTATTTTAGAATAAAGCCCAAATTCCTTACTTTCACCTACAAGACCCTGAGGATCTGGCCCTCCTTGCCTGTCTGCCTTATCTCCGATCATTCTCTCTCTCTCTCTCTCTCATTGCCTTCTAAACTCACTCTTCTTTCTAGCCCTCCAATCTGCCAAGCTCTTCTTCCCCTCTCCCCTGGAAAACTCCCAACTCTTAGCATGGCTACCTGCTGCTCCAACCTTTGGGTCCTGGCTCAAAAGTCAGCTTCTAGAGGTCTTCTCTGACCTACAGCCGCTCCACATCCCTCTCCAAGAAATCTACCATAGCTGAGGCAGTCACCATTTATTAGCATTTCTGTCTCTCCCCCACTAGCATTTAAGTTCCTGGAGAGCAGCTTCTCTCTCTCTCTCTCTCTCTCTCTCTCTCTCTGGCACCTGGAATATTCCTTGCTAAGTAGCTGTTTAGTCTAATTAATCAAAGAATACCATCAGCAAAAAGGTTTGGAATAAATCAAGAAGTGTTTTCATCTATCATGACTTTATTTCCAGACAGCCATTTGGACTCTGAGGTACATGTAATTTCAGATTGAGTCATTAATTCCCTTAAGTGGAAGATATTTTTTAATAGTTTACCTTCATTGTTTGAAAAATGGGTAAAAAGCACTCCTAGTGTGAGGGTTTGTTTATTAATATTGTTAAGTCATTCTATGCTTTGAATACAAAATACCAAGCAGAGCTCCTTCCTGTGAATATTTGGGGCTGAGGGGTAAGATCTAAATTCTCCCCCTTTTGTCCACCCTACAGCCTGTGTGTTTAGATCAGTGGCCCCAGGAGATCAGAGAGCCTGAGACTTGTGAACAGTCTCCTTAGAATAAACACAGACTTGGGCGCCTGGGTGGCTCAGTTGGTTAAGCGACTGCCTTCGGCTCAGGTCATGATCCTGGAGTCCCGGGATCGAGTCCCGCATCGGGCTCCCTGCTCGGCGGGGAGTCTGCTTCTCCCTCTGACCCTCCCCCTTCTCATGCTCTCTCTCTCGATCTCATTCTCTCTCTCAAATAAATAAACAAAATCTTTAAAAAAAAGAAAAAAAAAGAATAAACACAGACTCATCAGGATTGTGGACTTTAAAGTCTCCTAAGTATGTGTTTGCTTCTCAGCTTCCTTCACACCCTTCTTGGGCTCCGGCCCCAGCTCCGTGGAGCGGCAGCTCCTGGATAGCTCAGAGCAGCCCGCTGCCAGGGCGAGCATCCCCCAGCTGCCGGTGACGCCCCGGCGCTGAGGCAGGAAAGGCTGGCTTGCGGTGTTGTCAATGCCAGCCACCCAGGCAGAGCCTTGGCGACGCTGCGGGGCTGCCGGCTCACGGAGCCCCCAGGCAGGGTGGGGCTGTCGCTAGTCCGCTCTAGCTGGCTGCCGCTGTGTGCTACTGTGATTTTCCCTCCACTAGCCATGCTGGAAGTGGCCCTTCCCCAACACACAGGCTCCTCCTCCGTTCTGGAAGGTTCCAAGTGTCTTTTCAATTGAGAAATGTACAAAAAGTCTTCGGTGGGGGTGGCTGTCTGGATCAGGATACTAATCCCATCAGGAATACCTGAAGGCGTCGTCTTCTAAATGTGTAAATGATTGCCCCATAACACAGGGCATATCCCGGGCAGCCCCACAAGGGCTGGATGGCAGAAATCCTACTGGACTTGGAAACAAAGCTACATCAATCCTACCAGTTCAGGGAAGGTGTTCCCGCCACTGTGTTTATTGGTAAGGGTAGGCCTACCTTTGGAACAGCCTATTTCCAAACCTCAGTGCCTTAATACCATAAAGGTTTATTTATTTCGTATGTCACAATCCACTCAGGTCAGCTGGGAGTGGTGACGGGAGTACCTGCGCTCCACACAGTCCTCCAGGGACCCAGGCTCCTTCCACCTATTACGGGGATTCTTAACCTGGAGTCCACAGGTCCCCAGAAGGGTGGACAGAATTCAGAGGGTCTGTGACCTTGGAGTAGGAAAAAAGTATATTTTCATTGTCATTAACCTCTTAACTATAATTCAGCATCTCCTGCAGTTATGATTGACAGCAACAAACCACAATATTAGTGCCGCCTGTGTGACTTTACCACCAATAGAAAGGAGAGATAGTTTCATATCATGTTATAATTTTAGCAGATATCATGAAATCTCACTTAGGCTTAACACGACTTTGAAATGATGGTAGTTATTAGACTCACTTGAAGACCTTGTTATTCAATATGTTCATTAAAGAATACATACCGTACCAACCATATCACAAAATATTTTTAATATTTTGATAACTGTATTTCAGTATACTTGCTCTTCTTTGTATTTCTATATGTTTCATTTTAAATGTTAAAAAATATTACTCTGCCTAGGTTTCATGTGGAACTGCCAAAAGGGTGCATAGCAAACAAAAGATTAAGAAGCCCTGATCAAGTGGGTCCCCTGAGTCCTTGAGCATCCTCTGCGTCCAGTCAGCAGCCTGGGCTGGAATGGCACTGCCCGGTAGTTTAGGGACAAGTCTTAGAAGGAATATCTACCACTTCTGCCCACATTCCATTAGTCCTAAGTCAGTCACACGTCCCCACCTGACCGCAAGGGAGGCTGGGAAATGAGGTGTAGCCGTGTGCTCAGGAGGAAAAGGAAACGGGGATCGGTGAGCACACAGAAGTGACTGTCACCAGGCCTATGGGAATAATCAGCAAAGCAGTGGCATCCCAAGGACAAGGGCCCTCTCTGGAGAAAAACGAATCTCCTGTCAAATTCATTTCAGGAAGTATAATCATAATAATACCATAACAACTACCACTGGTTGAATAATTACTCCTGTTGGTGTTGTGCTAAAGGATTCACTTTCACGAACTCATTTAATCCCATAATAACCCTCTGGGACAGGTACTCTTATTGTTCCTACTTAATAAGTAAGGGAACCAAGGACTTGAGAAAGTGAGTCCAAAATCAGTGCTTTCAATCACTGTGCTGGACTATTTTGGGAAAACACTGAGACCCTTGAAAAGAAGGTGGCATTGTATCCTGGTGGAAAGGGCAGTTCCTGGTGCCCAACTTCCTGCATTCCCAGCTTTGCTAGAAGCTGGGCACAATTTACTGACACCCTCTATGAATCTGTAAAATGGTGGCAGGGTGCCTGGGTGGCTCAGTCGTTAAGCGTCTGCCTTCGGCTCAGGTCATGATCTCAGGGTCCTGGGGATCGAGCCCCGTGTCGGGCTCCCTGCTCTGCGGGAAGCCTGCTTCTCCCTCTCCCACTCCCCCTGCTTGTGTTCCCTCTATCACTGTGTATCTCTCTGTCAAATAAATAAATAAAATAAATAATAAAAATAAAATAAAATAAAATAAAATGGTGGCAATGATAGTATCTATCTCTTAGAATTAAATGAGGTAAACTTTCGTAACAGCACTTGGCATATGGTAAGTGCTCAACTGATGTTAGTTACCGTCATTAACGCCTAAATGACACTGTGACCACCTTAATAAAAGTGAACTAAATATTCAGGGCAACTTAGTATCCATGAAGGATGCAGAAAAATGCCTGAGATCACCAAGATCCTCACCAGCTGGCAGGGAGGAGGGTGCTCCCTAGAATGGTATGCTGAGTTATAGTCAAGATGATGGGAAGTTGTTACCTTTTTTAAAAAAATATTTATTTATTTATTTTGGAGGAAGAGAGAGAGAGAGAGTGCAAGGTAGAGGGGCAAAGGAAGAAGGAGTGGAAGAGAATCTGAAGCAGAGTCCCCGCTGAGCACCCAGTCCAACGCAGGGCCCGATCCCACGACCATGAGATCATGACCTGAGCCAAAATCAAGTCAGACGCTTAACTGACTGAGTCATCCAGGCTCCCCAAATTGTTACTTTTCTTTTTTTAAGATTTAGTTAGTTAGTTGAGAGAAAGAGAGCACAAGTGGAAAAGAGGGGGAGAGGGAAAAGTAGGCTCCCCGCTGAGCAAGGAGCCTGATGCACTACTCGATCCGAGGACCCTGGGATCATGACCTGAGCCGAAGACAGACGCTTAACCGACTGAGCCTCCCAGGCGCCCAAGTTGTTCCTTTCTTTTTTTTTTTTTTAAAGATTTTATTTATTTATTTGAGAGAGAGAATGAGAGAGAGCACATGAGAGGGGGGAGGGGCAGAGAGAGAAGCAGACTCCCTGCCGAGCAGGGAGCCTGACGCGGGACTCGATCCTGGGACTCCAGGATCATGACCTGAGCCAAAGGCAGTCGCCCAACCAACTGAGCCACCCAGGCGCCCCAAGTTGTTCCTTTCTAACGAAGGTGGAGAAAATGTGTTGGGATGACAGAAAATATGGGTGGGTTAGTTTTCATTTTAATGTAACTTTCTCCTGTTTACAGAATTCTATGAAGGTGATGTTCAAATGCCTGTGGAAGAACTGCGGGAAGGTGCTGAGCACTGCGGCGGGGATCCAGAAACACATACGGACCATCCATCTTGGGTAAGGCAACCCTCCGTTCAGGTGTGGTGTGGCCTCCAGGAGCTCAATCTCGGGCCACCTGCACTCAGAAATTACACACCACACTAAGTCTGAACACAGGAATAGAGACTGGGCTTGCTTGGTCTTTGTAATCCCTGTGGAGATGGCCACTCAGATCACACAGACCAATCGGGCACAGTGGAAAGAATGTGGATTTAACCTTGCAAAGCCTCCCCAATTTGCTTACTAAGTGACCTTAGGCAATCCACTGCTCTGAGCCTCAGTACCCTCTGAAAATGAGGCTAATAGTAATATCAGCCCAGCAGGGTCATGTGTAAGGGTCAAAAATAAAATGTATGTGAGAATGTCTGTATTTGAAAAATATAGAACACTAGGGTGGGGTGGGTTCCTTGGACCCCCTGAAATTTTCTGTCAGATTAAATGTGCATTTTTTCCCAATAGGAGTATTTGTGACTTTGAGCCTCAGAAGCATGTATATAGCCTCAAAAGGGCTTAAGAACCACTGTGTCCATCAGTGCTGTGGTTTCTACTCTTATGATAGCTGGTGACTTGGCTCCATCATTTTTCGTTGCTCCAATAAGCCCTTTATCTATACGCTCTATGCTTTTCCTTGTGTTATATAAAAACCGTCCTAAGGAAAAAGAACACAGAGTTTCCAGCAGCAGTGACTAGGGGTCCTACCAGAGGGGTGGTGGAGGTTCAGCAGTCTTGTCCTTTAGTCCCTGGGTCTTTCCTGCCCAGGGACGTCAGACACAGAAGGACCTTGGGAGGCTGTATGTCATAACCAGTATATATAAGGCAAATCCAAATGCATGACCAAGTCCCCAGACGCTTGGACAAAGGAGTCCTTTCAACAAGATGAGCGTCGAGAAATAAACACTACAGTCACGCTGCCCAGCAAGGGACAAATTTAGGAAATGCATCATCCATACAAAAGTGGTATAAAAAAGAAAATAAAAATGGGTTCTAAGGTGATTCTGCTGATCTGTGCAGGTGGGCTCCTTCAAGGACTGTGGAGAGAAGCAGGGATCTAGCACGCTTACCCATAGTGCCGAGGTTTGGGGACACAGCCAGAACCTTCCAGAGTATAGCACACAGAAGGTTACGGAGTGTTGTGGGTGTGGTGCCGCAAGACTGGGCTTCTGCTCCCCTCACCAGAGGGGCTGTCTACCTTCACCCTCCAAGAAATACCACACCCAAACACTGCAGGGCAGAACACCCTCATTCCTGTTCCTGAAGGCTCCAGGGAAGGAAATCCTGCAGTGTCTCCCCTCAAACCTCATTGTCAGGACAACTCATAATGCAAATAGCTCAGAGTTATTTAAAGGTTTAGAAAAAAAACTTCCCAAAGCTATAATCAGGAGCTAGGGTATTTGTTTTCAAGTCCATCTGCCCAGAAAACTGAACCCTACTTAGTACATCGAAGAAGTGCATGCTGCACATATGTATTTATAGACCGTTTATAAGTGGCATCTCACGATTTTCCTTTGAGCTCCCGCGCTGCTCTCATGGTGGGTAAAATTCAAAATGCAGCCACTACTATTCGCTTCCCTAGGATTCCCTTTTTACACTGTGCTCTTAAAATTGCCTTGGTGAATTAGGATTCACAGCCCTGCCAGCCACTGCCCAGGGACAGGCCTGGGTTAGCAGAACTCCGAGGCCAGTCTGTGTGTATATGAAGCCTGAGGCCTGAGCTCTCACAGACTGGGAGGGGGTAATCACCTTTGCTTTAATCCATGAGCTCAATTATGTGATGTAGGACAATGGAACATTTTAATGAATGTTGGCTGGTGGGGAGAGAAGGGGAACATACCAAAGCCAGAATATAGAATATATATCGCATCTGATATAGCTGCAAGAGCATAAAAAATACACTGTTTTTCTCTTAAATCTCACTCCACTCTTGTACAGCAGAGGCTGATCCTGATTTATCCCCATCTGGGACACACAGTTTCCCCGAGGCCTGTGTGTCTATTAGTAGCCCTCAGCAGCCAGTAACAACTCGGCCTGCCCTTTACTGGAAAGGAAGTGGGGACAGGAATAGAACAGGCGCACATTCTTGGGCCCACTCTCTGGGGTCTTTAATGGTATGCTTGTCAGAAAGCCAAGCCCCGCCAGACCTGGTACAGTCCAGAGACACCTCCCCAGACGCCTCGGCCTGAGAGCTCAGGGGAAATGGGACAAGGTTGGGAGAAGCCGCAGATTTGACCAGACAGAAAGGCTGAGTAGAAGGGGAGATTTTTATTTTAGATTCTATATAGGGCTTGGAAGTTGGGGCCGGGGGGGTAGGCAGTTTATTCCAAGTGAGTGATCTACTACTGCTGGATATGTTCATGAAATTTGGGGATACCTCATGGGAGGGAGATGTACAGAGGCCATCCTATAAAACCAGGTTGCTAGATGTGTGCCAATTCTCTAGAAATTAACAAATTGAATAAATCTTTTCTAAGGTGATGGACAGGGGCGCCTGGGTGGTTCAGTCCGTTAAGCGTCTGCTTTCGGCTCAGGTCATGATCTCAGGGTCCTGGGATCCAGCCCGCCCCCCTCCTTGGGCTCCCTGCTCAGCGCGGAGTCTGCCTCTCCATCTACCTCTGCCCCTCCCCACCAGCTCATGCTCTCTCTCTCTCTCCCTCAAATAAATAAATAAAATCTTAGAAAAAAATAAAACAGAATTAAGAAAAAGTCATCTGACTAAAGTAAGAAAAAAATTTTAAAAAATAAGGTGATGGACACTTATTTTATTTTACTCAAAACTTTGTGTGGAAAAGTACAGTTGCCCATGTCTCAGGGAGAACTTTGAAAGCACCAAGAAGATATTTCTCTGGGTGATAGTAAAAATTGGGGCCTTCTAACTTCAACTTTAGTTTAATTTCAATAAACAGTGCTTACGATGTGTGAAGCACACTTCTACACCCTATATGTTTATTTGCTTAATCTTCACAAAAAGCAGGCACTATGATTATCCCCATTTCATCAGTGACAAGCCCGAAGCACTGGGCCATGGAGGCTGCCTCAATCTCACACACAGCTGGAGGGTGTCAGGATTTGAACCCGGGAAATCTGACTAATGCTCATAATCACCATGCTACAAGGACCTCAGCTTCATCCACTCAACATTTACTAGGCACCTACTGTGTGCCAGGTACATCCATATGTGTGGAGTGACACAGAACAAACAAGACGTAGTCCTAGAGAATCACAGTCTTAGGGAGGTGACAAGGGTTTAAAAAAAACTACAAAAATGTGCCAAATAATTAAGGAAAGTGAATTAAATAGAATGAATACACTTCAAAGGGAGCCTAGAGGCATAGAGGATCTAGCAGTGAGGAGTTACATTGTGAATCCTAACCTTCAAAATGCATCCCAAATTTGACTTCTGGTCACTTCCATCGCCAGCCCCTCTCACCCAGACACTGCCAACACGCATCTGGATGATCAATAGCAACAGCCTCCTTGCTGGCCTCCCGCTCTTGCTCCTGCCCTCTGTCCTCTGTTCTCCAGACACTAGCCGGAGTGGTCCTTCTAAAAAGTACCTTAGATGCCTCACAAGCCCCCGGCTTCCGTCACACTGAGAATAACATGCAGAGCCATTCCGTGGACTACAAAGCCCACGCATCCTGGTGCAGGTTTTTCCCTCACATCACTCAGGCCCCTGCTCACATGCCACCTCTTCAGAGAGACTTCCTCTGAACACTCTTTAAAATAAATGCCTTCCCAATGAAGCGGGGGAAATCGGAGGGGTAGACGAACCATGAGAGACGATGGACTCTGAAAAACAAACTGAGGGTTCTAGAGGGGAGGGGGGTGGGAGAATGGGTCAGCCTGGTGATGGGTATTAAAGAGGGCATGTACTGCATGGAGCACTGGGTCTTATGCACAAACAATGAATCATGGAACACTTCATCTAAAACTAATGATGTAATGTATGGGGATTAACATAAGAATAAAAATAATAATAAAATAAAATAAATGCCTTCCCTTCAATTACCCTGCTAAAGGACACTAAATCTGCTTAATTTTTCTCTCTGGGATTTATCACCACCTGATATATTAAATATGCTTTTCTTTATGGGTTCCTTGTCTGCCTCCCCCACTAGAATATAAGTTCCATCAGGTCATACATAGTCTGTGCTTTGTGCACCATGATATCAGGAGACCTTAGAAAAGTGCCTGGACATCATAGATTCTCAATAAATTGTTGTTGAATAATTGATTGATTGGATAAATTGCTTTTAAGAGGTCAAGGAAGGCTTCCCTGGAAGTGGACAGTTGAGTGTTGCTGGGCAAGTCAGAGTTTGCCAGACAGACAAGACCAAGGAAAAGCATTCCAGACAGAGGGAAGAGCAAGTGCAAGATTTCAAGGCAAGAAAGCAGACTGGGTTCCCATAATCGTTTTGCCCTCTTTTGCCCTAGGCGTGTTGGGGACTCCGACTACAGTGATGGAGAAGAGGACTTTTACTACACTGAGATCAAGCTCAACACAGACTCAGTGGCAGATGGACTGAGCAGCCTGGCCCCAGTGTCACCGTCTCAGTCCCTGGCTTCGCCTCCCACTTTCCCCATCCCAGATTCAAGCCGAACAGAGACTCCTTGTGCCAAAACTGAGACTAAACTGATGACACCCTTGAGCCGCTCAGCTCCCACCACCCTCTACCTCGTGCACACCGACCATGCTTACCAGGTGACTGGCGAAGGACCGTGAGAGTAGTCACTTTGACCCCCGACCAAAAGCAGTCGCATTCTGCCGTGCGAGGAGAGGGTAACCCAGTGGAAAAACAGCCTCACACAAGTAGCCCGATAGCTGAGTTCATTTTTTCTTTTTCTCCTTTTAAAGCCCAGATCTCACACCGAAGGGACCTTGTGGGCTCTTGGATTCCCCGATATTGACTGAAGATCCAATCCCTTAGAGGTTGTCATAGGATTAAAATCCTTCATATCATAAAGATCTCAGAAGGGTGACTGGCACACGATATAAGTATCTGTTAAATAAAATATAAAATAAATGAGAAGGTGAGCACTATAAAGCTTTGGCACAATGACATAATCACCCTGCGCTCCAAATCTGGGACTTCATGCCCTGCCTCCTGAATCGGTAACTAATCCTCACAGATCAGAGAGGCGATTATCAGTGTTCCCCAAATCAACAGCGTCAGCATCACCTGGGAACTTGTTAGAAATGTAAATTCTTGGGACTGCCCCAGACCTGCCGGGCAGAAGCAGATCTGCTTCACTGGAAAGTCTGATAAGACCTTACACACAAAGCCTGCAAATAGGACTTGGCTAAAGCTCCTTTGTCCCCCCAACAATTATTAACTCATTTAAACATTGATTTGTTTTAATGACATTTCAAAACATTCAAATTTTAAGAGAACATTTTTTTCCATAATTCTCAATTACTTTGTGCAACTTTAAAAAAAAAAATCTTCTGTCCATATTTGTAATTGTGTTCTCCCACCCTGGTTTTATAAACACTTTCATATAACTGAATAGTTTTCGGTTACATTGAAGCACCGAAATGTTTTAATCATTCTCGTATTGTTGGGTATCTACTCTTTAGTCTCTCCAGTTTTTTCCACTATCATTAATAACTCTACTATGAACACCTCTGTGCCAGTAGCTTTTTTTTTCCCCTTTGAATTCCCAGAAGAGTAATTATTGAGTCAGAGGATATAACATGAACAGCTTATGGTTATTGCTATGTATTACCAAAATATTTCCCAGCGATGCCAGTTATAAAACCACCATCACTAGCAGCTACATCTATAATTAGATGTAGAAACCTGTAGAAGAAACATCCAGCCACTGATTTAGTAGACTTAACACTCAAGAGCCATGGAATAGAGCTAATAATTAAATTAGCTGAGGCAATAAATTTCATTCCTGATTCTTGTTATGTTGGTCAAAAAGAATAATTAGTTTCTTCATTCTAGTTTGTCAGTGTTGCATTTAGAAACACTGGTTCGAAATCATGGGCGTGAACCCATTCCAACTATGGTGCTCACCTGTATGAGAGTTGGAACATGCAGTAGGTGATCTAAAAGGTCCTTCCCAAACCATGTATTCATAATATTGGGATTGTTCTATTTATAGACATTATAAATATTCAGCATCAAAAATGTTAAAAACACAAGCAAATGAAGAAAATTCAAAAAGCCCCTTGGTTAATATTTTTTGTATGTCCTTCAAGACTTTGTTCTATGGATGTTTACTCATTTTTTTTATAAAAGGGAATTTATTGTAACACTGTTTTTCTTGTGCTTTGTTTTGGCCACTTAATATATCATGAACATTTTCCCATACCAATCAGCATTCTTCGACAACATCAGGCTCTGTGGATAGATCATGATTTATTTACCCACTTCCCTATTATTGGACATTTGCATTTCCGGTTTTTTGTACCTAATACATAGTTCTGCAATGAACATCCTGTACCCATTTCCTTAGAATGAATTCTAGAAGTGGCATAGCTAATACACAAAATACTAAGAATTTTGATATATATATCGCCAAACTGCTGTCCCCAAATGTTGTACCAATTTACCCCCCGGCATCCCTATATAGGATTGTTTCTTTCCCAGTTTGACAGTGAAGCATTGTGTTTTATACATAAATATGTCCTAAAATAGGTATATGTATATATAATAAATTTATTTTCAGAAACCATCAAAAACCTCCTGCTTTTATTCCTTAGATAGCTTGCTGAGATACATTAAAAGTTTATTTCTAGCTACTCTCTTGGACTATGTTTAATCTACTCCTGTTGGATAATTCGTCTAAATTATTAATCCAGCTGAAACCACTTTCAGGGCCCTACTTAGGCAATGATAGCTTAGGACTGCGAGGAGAAATGTTGTTTCATAACAATGTTCTCTGTTTTCTGTGGAACAGGCCACGCCCCCCGTGACCATTCCAGGATCGGCCAAGTTCACCCCCAACGGTAGCAGCTTCAGCATTTCTTGGCAGTCTCCTCCGGTTACCTTCACGGGCATTCCAGTAAGTAGAAAAACAAATAGCCAGAAATCTGGTCAACCCTGCACATAAATTTAGAGAACAAATTATAAAAACATGCAAGAAAAAGACAAAACTCAGAATGCCAGAAGTACTTTATTCCTTCAGTGATACTTGTAAACTCCCCAGCACGTATTTCACGATCCAGCCTAGCCCAGCTTGTCTGTGGAAAAAGGTGTTACGACGGGCATTTGAGAAAAGTAGGAGACTCTAGGAGAGTTGCAGCTGCTGATAAACAACTTGTTAGAAATGTATGGAGATTTTTTGTGTCTGTAGTGTATTTGTATGTTTCCAAAAGGCTTGATAGAATTAATAGCTGAACTCAGATGCTGAACAAAAAGAAAAAGACCCTGTACATAAATGATATTTATCGTTATGAATAACTTTATAAAATTTATGACTTTGAAATTATTGTTTCTGGGTATGTCATTTTGAAAGGTTCAAAAAAACCCATAAATTGAAATCATTTTTTTTTCTTCCAAAGCTTGAGTAATCCATGCTGATAGGTATTCCCGAAAATAAGAGTGCTGAACTATGCAATCAGGTTTAAATGGTATATAAGAATTGATTTGACATAGTAAATGATTGCTGTCTGATAAATCGCCTTGAATTAACTTGATTCCTAACCATTCGTTTAAAAATATATTGGGTCTTTTGTAGCTTATCACAGAATATCCACAGACCTACACACTGTTGATGCCCACAGTGGTTTATAACTCCTGATAAGGTTCACAAAGTGGCTTATGATAACAGACATTAACCTTATTTTCTCCTCTCCACCCCTCTCCCCAAGGACCTCACAAAAGCTTCTTATTGTCAACCACTGGCAACTTCCAGAGGTTTCCAGAAAACACTAAGCCTCCTACAGTGCTGATAAAAATGAAAGCGGCTCAATCAATTATGCTGTGCCCGGTCGATGAATATTTATTAAATTCCCTAGGAGAATAGCCAGCAATGAAAAGCATCCTGCTGGCGGCGACTTGGGAATTTGTAGCTTCCGGAAAATACTCCTGGAATTTGATTTTTAAATAATCGAGGATCTGGAGTAATTTTGAAAGTCACCTCCTTCATCAAATAGTAGTAACGGCTGGCTACTCTGAAAGGGCAAGAATGCAAGGAGGGATCTTGTTAGTAGACTTTAGAAGAGAGCACGTAGGTAACAGTTTTGCTCTCTGGCAAGAACAATGATCAGCTGAGGAGGGTGTCAGAGGTTAACCATCAGTCCTCTGGGGGACTTTTTTTTTTTAATAAGATTTTATTTCTTTACATAAAGTATCTTTTATTCTACATGTGCTATCTTCAGCTTGGGGGACTTTTATTTATTTATTTATTTTGGTAGACCTGAAAAGATGAAAAGACCGGAGTGGCTCTCAATATCACGTTTGAGACAAGCCCCCTAACCTAGAAAGGCAGCTACAATTACAGAATTATAGAGACCCACTATTCTGAATCCTGTTAATTCCTGTCTTTGATTTGAGAATGTTCGAGAGCATACACCATATGGCTCACCTGGGGTGCAAACACGTGTAGCATGTGGCTGGAACAGCCCAGTTCACACTTTTTTTCAGATTACCCCTGTGACCAACCAAAATGGAATTTCTTCCCCTTTGCTTTATTAATTAAATCATCTCCTTCTGAAGTGCAGAGAAATTACTGAGTGGTGTGTGACTAGCTACATGTCCTCTAAAGTTCCTAAATATTTTACCCAGTAAGATACCAGCCAGGATACCTTCTATTGTTGGTTTCCCAGTAGCAAGATTTTAACACTCTTCTCTGCCGTGGACACCGTGTGTATCTCTACCCTCATCTCAATGCCCGAGATTGTTCGACGTCCCTAATTTCATTGGTTACCTGGGACAGTCTAGACCAGAGCTTTGACAGAAAGTGTACAGAGTGGCTGTGTTAACTAGGTATCCCACTGAAATCCTACTTTCACTTCTAATGTCTTCTTTCACCACAAAATTCTCATCTATCTGGTTGTGTCCATGTTTCAGCCAACACTTTAGACTGTTTTAGCAGCCATTCCTATTTCAAACTAAAGAGGAGGGGAGGGGATGCTATTTTCCCAGGCTTTGTTTTACCCTAGAGAGAAGGCTCACTATTAAAAATGTTCTTTATGTTATATACTGTCTAGCAAGGCTTAAAAAAACGTGGGTGCTTACTGTTTGCCTCCTTCTGGTGGGGGCTGGATCTTACAACACCACCCCACAGAAACACAGGACTGGTGCGCGTCCACTGACTAGGGGCTAGCGACTGTTCCCGAATTCTCCAGGAATGCTGTCCCCGCCCCTAGGAGACGGGGAGCCAGGTGGAATCTAAGAGCATATGAATTCCTACCTTCTAAACTAGTATAATAGGGTTTTCGGGCAGAAGCTCTAAACGTTTTAAATTCTAATGAATTCGTATCAGTGATGGCCTCAACTATATCCAAACGGAAGAACAAAGCAGTGCCCGTTTTATAAAATGCTCTTTAAAGAACACGTTTTTCTTTGTACTCCAGAACAAATACCAGGAGGTTGTCAACCCCATTTAAGGTTTGCTTCCCCCACACACACACGTCTTGGATACCGGGTATTGAGGAGGGGATGCTTTTATATGCTTCCTAGAGAAGGAAATACTCTCCTTCTGAGAAATCCCAAGGTTTGCAGGGTTTTATTTATTCATTTGCCGACACAAGATTTCCTGAACATCAGGCTTTAATAAGTTCCCTGGGTAAGACATCTTCCCGGAGGTGTGGAGTGGAGAAGGCTGTTCTGCCTAGCTGCAAATGTAACTAGAAGTGCAGTCTTTTCTAGCTGAAGGCCGTAGACATAAGGGCAGGGAGAAGACCCTCATTAATTACAGCATTCTTTGAGCTGTTTTTCCCGAATGACCACGCCTTTTCTTCTAATTATCTGCATTCTTTTCTCTGTCTTTTCATGACAGAAAGCTGAGAGTTCTTGACCCCGTATGAGTCTGCCCATACTGCCATAACAGAATACCATAGACTGGATCGCTTTAAACAACCAAAATGTATTTTCTCACAGTTAAGGAGGCTAGAAGTCCCAGGCCACGCTGCTGGCTAATTCAGCTCCTAGTGAGAGCTTTCTGTGGCTTGTAGAGGGCCACCTGCTCGCTGTGTCCTTATATGGCCTTTTCTGTTGGTGGAGGCAAGAGAGGGGGCACAACACAGGTGGAGAGAGAGCCCTTGAGTATCTCTTCTTATAAGGACACTAATCCTGTTGGATCAGGGTCCTAGCCTTTTGACTTCATTTATCCTTATTTACTTCCTTAAAGACCCCATATCCAAATATAACCACACTAAGGATGAGAGCTTCAATATATGAACTGGGGGGGGACACAAACATGCAGTCTATAACAAGCCCACGGAACCAAGAGCGAATCAACCTGCGATCCAAGGGCCATTCCAGGAGGGCATCAGGCTGGAGGAGGGTGTCCAAACCTAAAATAGCAGTGCTTAATTATCAGACGTTTAGCTGGGTTTGTTTGTTTGTTTGTTTTTAACACCTTGAGGGAGGATTCAGAATAATATAAGAGATTACAACCAAGACAAGGAAGCTGGCTTTTCCATTTGAGAGATAGAAAATCACAAAGAAAAGAAATCTCTCCAACATATTTACAGAGGGACACAACATTCTTAAGACTGCTCTGGTGGGCGCCTGGGTGGCTCAGTTGGTTAAGCGACTGCCTTCAGCTCAGGTCATGATCCTGGAGTCCCAGGATCGAGTCCTGCATCGGGCTCCCTGCTCAGCAGGGGGTCTGCTTCTCCCTCTGTCCTCTTCCCTCTCGTGCTCTCTGTCTCTCATTCTCTCTCTCTCAAATAAATAAAATCTTTAAAAAAAAAAAAAAAAAGACTGCTCTGGTGTGAGGCTCAGATGCAAATCCTGACTCTGGCATTTACAAACTGTGACCTCTATTCAGTCACATGACCTCTCTTAAGCAATGCCCTCAAAATAAAACCACTCCATGGAGTTGTTTTTTTTTTTTTTTAAGATTTTATTTATTTGACAGAGAGCACAAGTAGGCTGAGTGGCCCACAGAGGGAGAGGGAGAAGCAGGCTCCCCGCTGAGCAGAGAACTCGATGTGGGACTCAATCCCGGGACCCTGGGATCATGACCTGAGCCGAAGGCAGACGCTTAACCATCTGAGCCACCCCGGCGCCCCTCTCCATGGAGTCGTATCGTTGAGCACAGTGCCTGGCACTGACCAACATGGAGCATTCACTAGTCTTGCTGCCTGTGATGTGTCTCATCGCTAGAATACAGTGGTCGGGAGAAGTGTATTCTCCCTATCTGGGACTGACTGATATAACCCATATCTACCCAACATGGGGGAGAAATTAACCATGATCTCTGCAGACTAAAGTTCTTGAAACTCTTCTGAGGTCACACCTAATCAGCAGAAAAATGAGAGGCGTATGTTCATTGTGTGTTGTGCTTGTGTGCTCCCCAAGCTGTGTGTGAAACTCCATTGCTGTGTGAGCTGTGCCTTTCACAGCAAGGTAGCCAGGACTCGCTCTCATGAAGCCCAGGAGGACCCAACACCCCCACCCTGATTTAGACCCGCGGGTGCTGCCCCACGACCTCCACCAAAGCCCATGTCAGGAGCTGAGTCCTTAAAGACTGAAGAAAAACGGTTCTCTGGAAAAAAATAAAATGGAGATTATACTTCTAAAAATATTTATCTATTTGCCTATTTCTTTTTTTTTTAAGATTTTATTTATTTATTTGAGAGAGAGAGAATGAGAGACAGACAGCATGAGAGGGAAGAGGGTCAGAGGGAGAAGCAGACCCCCCGCCGAGCAGGGAGCCCGATGCGGGACTCGATCCCGGGACTCCAGGATCGTGACCTGAGCCGAAGGCAGTCGCTTAACCAACTGAGCCACCCAGGCGCCCCCCTATTTCTTTTTATTTAGAAAAAATACCATATAGTACTCTCCGAGTCTACTATATACTTAATAGAAAATGCCCCAAAATAGAACTTAGAAACAGTTAAGATATAAAACTAATAAAGATTTTTTAAAAACGAAGATTGAAATGTGGAGACCACTGGGAGAGACGGCCAGCATCGTGCTGTGCAGGGCTTTACTTTAGGGCACACCGTATTTCCCTCAGCTCCGTGGCAGGGTGGAGGGATGGAAAGAGCAGTGCCTTGACGTCATTCAGAGCTAGTTCCAAGGTCAGCTGGTACGAGACGGCCTGTGTTCAAGTACTGGCCCCACCGCTTACTGTGCGGCAACAGACTGAACTTCTCCACTCCCTTATCGAGGACGTGGACATGATGGCCATCTATTTATCCTAGGGTTGCAGTGAAGATGAAAGCAGATAGCACTCCAAGGCACTTCGTTTAACAAGCCCTCGCTAAATTACTACTACTGCTACTTCGAACTCCGGGATGCTCTGCGGGCCACCTCCTGGCTCCACGTCTAAATGATCTTATCTGCAAAATGCAGATAACAGCACTTCACTGGCAGGGGTTTTGTGAGGATTAAAAGAAATGATACCTAAACTAGTAGCCTGCCTCTCACATTTGTGAGCACTAAATAAATGTCCGTTCCTATGCCAGCTACCCCCTCCCCTTCCCCAACCTCAGCCCCCGCTACAATAAAAAGCTTTCAACCATGATTGTCTTGCTATAAAAAATCTCAAGGAAAGCTCACAAGTTAGGTCATACTGGTCGTCACACAGAACTGAGCCACAGCCAACATGTGATGCGGGTTCTGGCTTCCGCTGCGTTGCACCCCATAAAACCCAGGTCTGGGGTGGATCGGCAGGGGCGGCTGCTGGACAGGACTATACACTCAGGCCCTGAAAGCCCGAGTTAATAAAGCCATTAGCAGGAGTAAAGACTGTAATCAGGGGTTATTCCTCCATAATCCTCAAATGGTGTCTTTGGAATTTTCAAAAGCCTGGTCCTCGCTCCTTCCTCAAACCAACCACATCATCAGTTTTCCCATTTAAGTAAGTGGTACCACCATCCCTCCAGCTTCTTGGGCCAGAAGCTGGGATTCACCCTTGACTCCCCTTGATTCACCCCTGATTCTTTGAAAGATTTGTCTTCGTTTTTTCCCATCCTTCAACGTGTCCCAGACTCTGCCTGATTCTGCATGAATCCAGCCCCTTCCTACCACCACTGCCACGCCCTAGTCTAAATCACCAGTACATCTTTCCCCCCAGATAGTGCAAAACCTCTTAACTAGACTGCAGGGCTCCTCTCCAGGCTGTCTCCAATCCATTCTCGAAGGAGCCAAAGGGATCTTTTTAAAGCATTAATCAGATGTCTCGCTTTCTTAATATTCTCCAATGGCTTCCCTAGCACTTAGAGCAACATTCAATTCAAATTCCTCAATCGCAGCCAGGAGGTCTTTCCTGAATCTACCACCTCCTGTCTTCCTACCCCCAGCCTCCACACAATGTCTTCTGGCCCCTTTGGCTCTCTGCACCTAGGAGGCCTCTGTCATTGCTGCCCCTTTCTTCAGAGTGCCGTAAAGATAAAAGGGAACCTCTCAGAGGGACTTTTCTCACCACCCTAAATAAGTAAACGCCCTCTCCCTTCATGAGGCTTTGCCTATTGACCTATTTTATTTTCTTCAAGCACTTATCACTAAAATGATCTTACTTGTTTGTATGTATTGTCTGTGTCCCCACTAGAATGTATGCTCCATGAGGGCAGAGACTTGGCATTGTTCACCGCTAGGTACCCACATTCTAGAAGGGTGCCTGGTGCATAGTAAGAACTTCATAAATATTCGTTGGATGAAGAGCACCCTGTCATCTCATATCACCTCACATGAAAGGGGTGTGGCACTTTTGCACAATTTAGAAAACCTTCCACATTGTCAACCAGCTGATGGACGTTGGGTCACTGTCATGTCAACTAAACTTCTCCTAGTTCTCTCACTAAATAAGGCAGTATTCTTGGGATTCTATGAATTCTGTAATAATTTTTAGATTTTTAAAAATTGTCTCGACCACTTAAAACAATTCATATAAGCACATTCTAGATCACCACAGTGGCTGTGAACACCTGAAGCATTCATTCCCTCTGGTTTGCTGTAATGCACCCTGGTCAGGGATGGGATGCAGGGTGCTGTAGGGGGGAAGGAGGGGTCGAGATTCTGCTCCTGGAAAGACCTACATATCTATCCATGTCAAATGCATACACTGAACTCCAAAGCTTTTGTTTTTAAAAAATAATGTATGTTAACTCACCTCTTCTGGCCCTCACTCCTACCCAGCTTTAGCAAAATATTAAGACCAATGGTACAGAATAATTCAGAATCATAGCAACAGTGGTTTAAAATGTTAGGTTTTCACTTACCTGTTTAATTTTTTGAATTAACATCTAAGAAGATAATGCTGATGTATATTCCTTTGAATTGAAAGAAAATAAAAAGTGCTAGTGCCTGTACTAGAGAAATTCAGTTCTATAAGTATGCCTTAGGAATGTTCCCATGACTGTTCATTGGTCATGGTACTTCCGTGGCCATGTTGGCTTCTAGATAATTAAGTGTCTAAATTCATTACATGTCTGCTCTTCTATATATGGCAATGCTGTATATTTTCTTGAAATATCATTTATCTTTTCTTATAAAAACTCGTTTTTTGTAGCTGTTGAGGATCCCAGGTGCGGGGAAGATATTTAATGTCAGGAGAGCAGATGATGCAAAGGGTCTGGTAAGAGGTATAAGAGGAATCAAAAGCCAGGGGCCCTCCTATTATTATGACTGAGAGGCAGAGGTGTAACAGGGTCAGACACAAGCCTTGGCATCGGTAGAGCTCAAGACAAGCGCTGACCCTGCCATTACAAGTTCCATGACCTTGGCCAAGTTCCATGACCTTGGCCCCATGCCTTGGTTTCCTCATCCATAAAGCAGGAACAAGAATAGTACTTACCATGTGGGGTAGTTGTGACATTTAAAGCCATTGTCAATGAACCTGGCATGTAACGAGTGCCCAGTAAGTGTTTCATGGATGACATTTGTTCTTGACTTGCTTGGACTCTTTGCTTCTAGTCTTTATTCCCGTTTGGACCCCACCATCTGCTGTGTGGATGTCTTATGCAACAGGCCATTTATTTAGGGGCTGTGAATGATCTTGTAAAGCAAACAGAGGGCCGACGTCCACACTGTGTCATTGCCATTGACTGGCTATATAATTTTACACAACTCTCTTAACCTCTAGGGATTTGTCTTTTTTAAAAAGGTAGATCATGAGGCTTAGAATAGGTGAGACTATACCTTAAGGTTTGGAATATTATTCAAGTGAAAATATGTTACTATGGGCAACTTGGAATACACACGTGAAGTCATGAAGCTTTTTTAAAGTATTCATCGTTGCCGAGTCTTTTCTGCTTGGGGAGGCGTTTAAATTTCGCCACAAGCATCACCATATCCATGTTAACATGTGTTTCATCTCCATGTCTGATGTTGACCACTGCCCATGTGGCAAAGGCTAAATAAATGCATGGTGAGGAGAACCTGTCCCAACAAAGAAAACTTTGTTTTCCATGTCCTTGCCAGGTGTCACCAACACATAATCATCCGGTGGGCACAGGAGAGCAGAGACAGCACACTCACACGGTCTTGTCCTCGCCACCCAGAGGGACGGTCAGCCTGAGGTATGACTGCTTGAATCGCCACCCTCCTCATCTCAAGGGAATTAACTGAAAAACAGAAGAACAGCAAGGAAGAGAGAAACCAGAGATACGATGTTCCATAAAATTTCCCTGGAATGGACAAAACACCCTTTCTTTCGTTGCCATGGTTCTCCCCACCCATCAATTATTAATGAAGAGTTGTTGTTGTTGGGGGGGTGCAGTTGGTAACAGTTTGCTGTAAGTTTTCTCGAAGAACAGGTAATGGTGATTACTGGGTCTATTTAAAGCCATATGGCCTTAACCTCTGTATTAAAAGAACTTTAAAATATAGTTTTTAATACAGATCAGTGAGAAACGCCTCAGATGTCCCTTAACCAGAATGCTAGAAATTTGAGAAGCAAGAGACCACCTGAAAGCACATACTTAAAACTTAAAAGAATAAAGCTCCCTACTGGTATTTTTTGTATTTACTTGTTTAATTCAGTTTGATGAAGAGGGACAAGCCCCCAAATGGACAAGTAGAAGCTTGAGAGTTACAGTAGTCAGTAGTAACAGCTGAGCGTGGTGGCCGCGACAACATCCAGCAGGTGTTCAAGTCCTAACCTAGCAAGAACCCTTATTAGGTTTCTTCACACTGTTTCTTGCTCTTTTGAGGGATCTCAAGCCCTCCAGAGAACGCCCCCTGACTTTGTCCGCTGCATAACTGCTCCTTGCCTGTCTTGCAGGAAGCCCCGGGGAGAGGGCAAGAAGTGCCGCAAGGTGTATGGCATGGAGAACCGGGACCTGTGGTGCACGGCGTGCCGCTGGAAGAAGGCATGCCAGAGGTTCACTGACTGACCCCTGGGGCCCCCGAGCCCCGCTGCCCTCGCCTTCCACTGCAGGCTCTGGAAAAGCGCTTTTTCTCCCGAACAAAAACACACTTGAAGCCCAGGAAAAGCACTTCCAGGAAACTTGGTGGAATGACAGCAAAAAAAAATAAATAAATAAATAAGGTCACCACCCTCACTGCTCTTGCTGAGAACCCAGCGTCGGGCAGCTCTATTTTTTTTTTTCCTTGAAAAGAAAAGTCAGCCTTTTTTTTTTTTTCCTGTATGTCTAGGTCTGAAAACTGTGGACTTCCGTAGCAACTGAACCAACAAAGCCCGTTTTACCTAGAGAGGAGGCATATTTTGATAAGCTTTCCAAATAATGCCATTTCTGAGATTTTTTTGCCATATTAAAAAAAAAGCTACACGTTATTCAGTAGCGTTTGTACAGAGGACAGTACCTGCTTTCATTGTGAATAGTATTTTCCCTGTTTTCCATTTGACTTCTTGGAGCAGTGCACATCATGACGTGTTGCTAGAAAGCGCAGCACTCTGGGGATCTCTTCTCTGTCTCGTTTGTCGGTTTCTCGCGTTTTGAAGAATGGCCCCGCACGGAACCGCCACAGAGCTGTTGGCCTGAAGGGCCCCGGAGGGCGTCCACTCACAAAGAGATCACCAGCAGACTTCAGCCCCCAGCTGAGTCCAGGACATCCGGGAACACCTAGGAGTCTCCGCTGGCTCGTTCTCTACCAGCCGCGGCTCCATCAAAGACTGGCATGGGTGGCCATCTGGGTAAGCCTCGATGCTTCTTTCAGGGACGCAGGGCAGACAGCGGCCCGGGTCTGTTGGTCACTGCTTGTCTGACAGTGTCCTTGCCAGGTTAGCGGGTCATCGGGCCTTCCCTCAAAACTCCACCCCGGACCGGTTTCAGAAAAGGTAGAGAACTCGAACTATCCCCACAGGACAGCAGAGCACAGCCTCCACGTCCCCATCTGTTCAGAGGGACATGTGAGGTCAACAAACCAACATCTATTCTGAGTGCACTTTCATAGGTTGTATGCTTTAGCATGTCCGGGAGAGGGGTTCGTGAAATATAGAAACATGATATGGGTACATGGGAGGTCCCAAACTTTATTTTTCTTATAAAAATATTGGAACTGTTCATTAAGAATTTGCTCAGAGGGGAACATATAGAACACCAAAAGGAAAATGCATGTTGGTATAGGAATCTCTCCACTTAGTAGGACCAGGGCTCCCACTGCATTGCTCTTGGCAGGCTTTCTAGCCTGGTATATATGTTTGTTTGGTTGGTTGTTTGTTTTGTTAGTAGTGCAAAGGGGGAGGGGAGTAGTCGTCATGCTCTCTATATAAGCTCATCGTCTATCTATCCTACTCTGGATTGCCCTGCTAATGAGTTATTTTTCCTATACCTATGCAAAGAAGTAAGAGCACCTTTCAGGATGCACTGTCAGGACTGGGAGCCTACGATCAGCCATAGGAATGTTCAATGAAATTGCACAGAGCAAAGTTTAATATATGTTTAGAGATTGTACATACACTTGTTTTAAAGAGTTGAAAGAAGTCATCTAGTAATAACAAATATCCTTTTCCTTTTATAATCGAGGGAAATAGAAGGAGGTTCCACAGTGTAATATCCACAACCTATGCGTTCATATATTTTTGGCAGTTTTATTTTTTAAGCTTTCATATGACTTTTTAAACATTGTTCCTTGGAAAAAATCCTGTTTTCCTCCATTTATTTTTATTTCAACAACACTTATTTCAAGAGGGAAGGAAAAGAGCTTCATTTAATTTCATGCCATGATTACCAATCACTAGTAGCTATGGCACCAGCTATAATGTGTTTTAGTATTTACAAGGTCAGCCAGGAAAGGGCATTTTTCTAAGGATAGAAATGTATTTGCATCCTCAATCCCAGCATGTCTTTTCTCCTTCCTGGAGTCCTGATGCTCTACCTATAGGCACCCTCGACTGTGACATGATGCTCTGGCCTGGCCCAGGAGGCCTGAGCTGAGGGTAGACTGCCCAGCAGCTACAGTGAGTCCAGAGCTGATGAACCCTTTGAGCAGGTTCCCTGTGGACAGAAGTGATGGTTGGTTGGGATGCACTCCCAGAGCAGAGGTTTTTCTCTTCGGTGAGGCTCCCTGGCCTGTGATCCTGGGATTAAGTCCCTCATCAAAAACAAAATGAGGAGGGGCTAAATCCATCCTCCCCACCCCCTAGAACTCTGGAACACAAGGAGGGAGAGGTTTCTGCTGTGGAGCAGTCCTGGACTGAGGTTTTGTGGCTGTCCTCCAGAGATGCAGCCCATGATTAGTTCCGAGCTCTGGCCTGGAGGGGTCAAGCTCAGTCCTTACCTGGTCTTTAGCTAATGAACAGGTATAAGCAGAAGTGTAGAGCTGAAGGCAACTTCCCTGGGATTTCTTCTCCTTTCTAAAGCCTTCTCTACACATACTTTTCTGCATCTCCTACCCACATGGGGACTCCTTTCTGCCAACCAGCCCAATCTCTGTGTACCTTCTTGGCTTCCAGGTGTGCACAGACCCTCAGTAGCTTCCTGCACACACAGACATCCATTCTTTGTATCAAGGCATGTCATAACTAGAGACCCACCAAAATTCACCTGGCTGGCCTTGGGAGGGAAAGAAAGGGGGGGGGGGATTAACTTCTTGCAAGCCACCCAGAAAGTGATGAATTGCAATATACAGCACTGATTGTAAAAGCTAAAATTTAAAAAAAAAAAAAGACATAGAGCTATTTTGTTATATTTTGGAATTAAATGAAGTGCCAAATTAAGCCCAACATTCGTTTTCTGCCATCTCTGTGGTCCCACATGCTTTTATGTCTTCATTTGGCGAGCGGAGACAGGGGATGGGTGGAAAGGGCAGTCCCACAGCATGCTGGCTGGTTAACGGGAGCTCCGTCCATCCCAGGGACCTCAGACACCTGTCTGTGCAAAAGCAATGGCAATACAATGGATTCTGGACCCAGAGTATTTCTAAAGAAGGCATGCTATAGTCTTCTGACCTTTCTCTCCCTTGATCCCCCCTTCCTTCACAAAATAGTTCTCATCTCTGTCTAAAAAAGGCATCTCATAGTAATGGACAGGCATTCTTCAGGTAGCTACAAAGCAAAGAGAGTTCATCAGGCTGTAGTATTAAGGCTTAGTCCTTCCCAGAGGATGTGCACCCAATTTATGGGAAGCAGTGTGACAAGCTGGAGAAAACACCGGGTAGCAAGTGGGTGGGTTGGGGACCAGAGAGGAGATATGAGAGGTCTATGGACATCTGGCTCCTGCTCATCTCCTTAATGCTGGTCAGCCAATGGGGATTGTCCCTGGGCACCTCCAAGGGAGCTGTCATGTTGTCCCCCAGGAATTGCTTGCCGGAGCAAGAAGAGGCTCCCTTAGGGGAAGCAGCTCTGCCCAGGGATACAGGACCGCCAAGCACATCTCAAGGGGGCACGGACTTCCCACCCCCTCGCTGGCTGGCAGGTTTCCTCATTGGTTGGGAAAAGCCAGCGTCAGGAAGAAGGCAGTGGGTTTCCACCCAATGCATGCTCAGCGGCGGAGTGCCTGCAAGCAGATCCAAGCACCAGGGTGCCCTTCACTAGACGATTCCTTGTCCAGTCGTAACTGTGTTGCCGATGAAAACTTGCAATAGACAAGGATGGGGGTTACAGTTCTCCGGCTTTCCAAAATCGTTACCTGAGATAGTTACATGAATGTTGCAAGAGATTTCTGAAACTAAAATGCCCTCTATCAGATTTCAAGATCATTTGAGTTTCAGTTGGCTTGACTCCAGTGTCCCACGAAGCCACACTTTGAAAGCCGCCCTGGGTTCTAAAGTCGCCGACGGTTGAACCCATTTCCTCCTTCTTCAGACTTCATTGGAAAACGAAAGAACAGCATTCACTTGAGAATGTTGAGAGAGAAGTGGCAAGGATTGTACCTACAGGAGAGAATACCTTGAGAATAGTAGCAAAACACTGTAAATAATATTCATTTCCTCAGGGAAAATTAAAGGGTATGTGAAAGATAGAGCTGGAAGATCCTTAGAAAGACTTTTATTATCTCTAGAGTCTTTTCGAGTCAGAACAGTTTAGTGTTTTGGGGTTTTTGTTTTTGTTTTTGTTTTTAACGAACAGGATAATTATTTCAAGACAAATTTACATGAACTGGACCATATCAACTTTTTGAGGTGTGGAGGAAAGCTCTATGAGAAAGAGCTGTTTCTTTGTAGCTGAGGCTGACCTTTGAACCACAGGCACGCTCCCTGGCGGGTGTTCACAGACTCGTGTAAGGCTTTTTCTGAATGTAATTGTGAATACGAAGCCTTGGTGTTCCTCTTTCTAATCACCCAGTTGGATGACTGCACGCAGAACCCCGTAGGTGAGAGCTGTTAAAGACGCACGTTTTGCTTTAGTAGCATGTTAAGGAGCAAACTTCCACGGACTTGTGCGGACAAGGTGCTGCTTTTTCTCATGACCCTGTAGACTTTCTATCGACCACATCAACTGTAGCATTGACCTGTATGAACACAGGGAAGGATCTGTGCATACAAATGAGTGGAAACAGAGCAGAGTTCATGAATATGGATGAGGATGTGACTCCTTTTGGAGAAGGCGCTGGGTACACGGGTCAACTGGAAATTTCATTTCTCTCAGAAAATACCCCGACCGGCGGCACACACACTCTCCCTGTTCCTCATACCTGTGGGGATTCCTCCATACTGGAACTGTCCCGTTGTGTCTTTTTGCATTGTAACTCGTCAAACCAGAAGTCAGTAAATAAAATGAGATTAGCACTTTTAGGTACCAAGTGTATGACTAAGTAATGCACACCAACAGAACAAGAAAGTATAAAATGGACTTAAGACCGACCGGTTTGCTTATTGTGACTGACTTTGAAAAAGCCCGTATCCAATGATATCCATGCTTTAAAAGGTGTACCTATCCTGGGACCGGAAATCAAAATGGGCATTTTACTTCTGGTCCTGTTTTGTAAATAGTTGCTTTTTTTTTAAGACAATCTCATGTTTTATAACTTTTCCTGTAGGTCTGAGAATCACAATGGTATTGTGTTGTGTCAAAATGTAATCTTAAATACGATAATTATAACTTAATTTTCCAAATAAGACAAGAATTATACCGCTTTAGGCTTCTACGATTCTAAGGGACATGACACTTTTATAATAAGCATTAGTACTTAACTTCTCACGTTAACAGAACTGGAAATATTTTACAAGATGCCGTGTTTTGTAATCACAAAAAACATGAACATTTTGTGGGAAATGACCTTGGTTTTATACATTGTAGCTTATTTTTTAAAATACAGTATTTACCAGACAGGAAGTGTTAGTATTATAAAGCAATTCCTGCTCTCCAAACAAAGGGCTATGCCTCTTTTAAGCAAGTGTTTTGATGCATATCTTTTCAATGAACCCTCTGCAGCAAGGGTAGAAATGCAGATCAGACGGAAAGAGTATTATAAGAGACTCAAGCTGGCAACAGCTACTCCTTTTATCATTGCCAGTGTGTTTGCGAAGTATGACGGAAAAAGACACTTTAAGAATCATCCTACGTATCTTAAATCGGAAAAAAAATGTTAGTAGATATGCTTGCAGGCAATGGGAGAAATATTCTTGGAAATTCTTTAGAGTAAAATGAGATTCTGTCACAAAGACAAACTTACCACAAACCTTCATTTAACTAGCAAGTATCATCGGGTGGTAGTTTCGCAAACCATGGTATGTAAGCCCAAAGATAGAATTTTTAGGCGATCAGTGGTGTTTAAAATAAGTTTTTCCTCAGCACTAACTCAATAACCTTAATTTCCTTATCAAAGCAAGTGCTTGATTTGTCACGAGAAGAACGAACAGACATGCAGGTTGCGATCAGAAAGTCACTGTGTTCCCAAGAGTCGGGAAACAAGGGAGGGAGCCATAGAAAGTTTATTAACTGCACAAATAATTTTGAGCTTTGCCAAAACCATTTCATAATGCTGTACAGTTTTTTTCTAGCCCACTCACTGTTAAAAAAAAAAAAGAAAGAAAGAAAGCATCTTTTCTTTCTAAGATTTCAGTAACTCAAAAGCTAGACTAATTAGCAGTATGCAGATAACATCAAAAGTAAAGCTGGGATAGAATGACCGTATACCCATTGGGCAGCTCCTATGAAGTGGTCAGAGGGTCACCCAGACCTTGCTTTCAAATAGGCTTTAGAATCTGCACACATGAGGACTAGAAATGCATGGAGATAGGGAAAACCACGTACAGCCTCGACTCCTGGTCTCTGAGATGAGGCAGTCTGCAAATCTCTATCTTCATTCCCTTGACTATCTCCACTGTTAGCATGAAATCCCCAAGAAGTGCTTATTGCTGTATGGTTTTGAACCAAATGAGTCTTGCTTCTTTTTGAAATAGAAGCTTCCTAATGGTTTATAGCAGAAGCCTTAGAAAAGCCAGGCAGGATCTGTAAATGAACGATTCAGGTCAGGCAAAACAGGGACACTACGGAAGAGTGGAGAGACTTGTCAACCAGAGAGCGCATGCCCCCATTGCCTGGGGCACCCAGCTCTAGACAATCAGAACCATGCAGAAATCAGGCCCAGGGCTACTAGATCTTCTGACTTGGAAGTAAGATGTTACCTGACATTTAAGTGTTGACAACTCAAATTCTTGGCCAACACTGTGCAGACCAAAGAGAACCTATATATGGGCAGAGGCAACCTCTGGCCACCAGTCTCACCTGTTGGGGAAAGCACATCTCACATCCAACGGCCACTGGGTCAGGTTCGTCCCTCAGCCCCACAAACTCACACATTGGCACTATCTGGGCCACTAAAATCAAAGAAGGGAAAGAGGTCAGTTCTCCCCAGAAATCATTCTCATGGAAGACTTGAATATTAAAATATAGTATCCTTAAGTTAGCCTTGCCTCTGATCAAAATATGCTAAAGTACTATCCGGCTCACCTTCTGCCCCCTTCTGGCGGCCCAGGCCATGCCCCAAAGCATGGAAGAACTGTCATCCCAACTTAAGTTCTCACCTACCGTGACCACTGTGATGAGGGGCTGGCAAAGAGCAGGCTCGTGCCTTCAGAGAAGGCAGCCAGGAGCCCCTGGAGTCTGAAATAGTCTGAGAGTCTGCTTCCTTGTCCCAAAGCCCTTCGCCAGTCCCTCCACACTGCTTCCCACTCCATCCTGCCTCGAGAGTTTTCATTCCAGGGTAAAATCTCCATCTCCAATATAGCAACAGCCTTGTTTCAGAACTAGTAGGTATGTTAGAGTGTCCACTAACCCCCAGAATGGAGTTTTTCCACACAGAAAACCTTAGCACCTTTGTCTGCAGGCAAAGACAAAATGGGAATAAATGTGTCATGGAAAAAATTAGAAGTTGCTTCTTTGGCTCGGATGGCCTAAGTTACTTCAGACTGTATCTTACACCAGAGTCCTGATGGTATTGGGATAATCGCTAACCCTTTCACATATATAATAAAGTAGGTTTCTTTCAGATACATTATTTCATTTGACCTTCCTAGGGATCCAGTGTAGAGTAGGAATATTTAGGATCCCCTCCGAGGCCACACCACGATAGTGTTAAGCCTGGGAGTCAGGCCTATCACTGCCTGAAGGAAAGAGGGGAAGGGCTTGCAGACTGAAGTCTTCTAGACTCCAAATCTAAAAAGACCCAGGGACCCACCTGGGTCTCAACCCACCCTCTCAGCCCAGGTCCTTCAGCATAGAAACTAAGCACGTGTTCATTCCCGTTGTCGCATGCAAACTTAATCATGGCCAACAGCACCCCTTTAGGCTGCTGCCGTGCCCCTACTCCCTAAGGTCCAACCATCTGAACGGTTACTTATAGGAGTTTCTTAGCTAACGTGATGTTCTGAGTAAAAGTTTTGACTCCTTGGGAAAAAAATGATTTTGCTGCTACCGTTCAACATTTGTTCTCCATGTAAACGGAAATCGATGCCAGAAAATTGAAAAGCAGCTCAAATTTACAATTTTTAATGATCAAATCCAATGCAAAGTTGGAAACACCCATGAGATGCTGAAGTCACGTTTAAATACGAATGCAATTTAAATGACATTGTCAATGCCTGAGATCTCTGTCAGGGTGAGTGACTAAAAGGCTGTCCAAAAAAAAATAAAAGGTTGTCCAATAATGAACAGGTTTCACGAGGCCCTTCTCCCTTTACTTTACCAGGCTTCCCATCGCGAGTTTAGGGTAAAGTCACTCCCAAGGAGTGTAGTCATGGAACTAGAAGGGGCCTAAGCCATTTTGGCCTGCATGTACTTCATTAACAGGCTTTTTTGACAAATGATGCGTTGTTATCTGTGGAGAATACAGTGCAGGAGTTGGACACAGCTGAGCTCTCCTCCTCTGCAGGTGAAGAAGCCTGTTTTGCAGGGGTGAGCACCAAGGCCCCCACAGTGGCGGGGCTTCGTGAATAAGCAGGAAGCTGAGGTTCCTAAAGAAGATGACCGTAGATTCTGAGCGAAGGCGGAGATTGTGAGTTCAATGCTCAAACTGTCATCCTTGTTTCTAAAAAATGTTCTTTCATATTGGGCGCCGTCCACGTCATTATAAATGGCCAGCTTCTAAAGAAAAGGGCCCCTTTATTTATACTATGAAAATGTTAAAAAACGAATTCTTGAGCCTGATTAACTGTTACATTTGCTCACGAGGGGCAATTCCCTAAATTTTTAATTCAGAAGATTCACCAGAGTAGAAAGTAGCAACTCCCGAAAAGGGCAAGAGAGCTGTCATTAAAGAAGAAAATTTTCTTTAAAAAAAAAATTGCTCATCTGCTTCCTTCTGAATTCTTTCTACATCTCTGACTCAGGAGGAAAACCAGGACTCTGGAGAAGAAATTGAGCTTAGAGAGAGAGAGAGAGAGAGAGAGAGAGAGAGAGAGAGAGAACAGTCCCCGTTCTGGTGATTAGTCTTAACCAAACACTCCCCCGCCCCCCTCCCCGAGCGCCATCTTGGCAACCACCTTGTGTTCACTTATGTAACCTTACTGAGGCCACACTGTTGTTAGTTATGTTCCCTTCCCCAAATTCCAAATTAAACACTTTTGCTTCTGTGCTGCTGACTTCTTTCTCACTCTTAAATTAAGCTCCAAGGGGATAAATATGACTGTGACTTGTATGTGAGGCTCAGTCTGTGAGGCTGCCCTCTTCTTTCCGAGAAAAATTTCCATCTCTCTGAACAGTTTTGGGTGATCATTCAGAGAGCATACAACCTACAACACTCATCACAAAAGACTCAAACAGACTCGCTGATAAAGAAAGACAAGGCAGATATCCAATCCTTTCACCTGGATTCAAATCCCTTCACGCAAGTCACCTACCCACCAGGCCCGTCCATGCGGAAGGCCAACTGTGTGATCAGACTACCATGGAAGGACAGAAGAAGAGAGCTTCACATTTTAATTTCTCTGGGCCCTGACCTCTGCCCACAATTATACGGCATGAAAATTGACTTGGCCTTTATTATGTGAAAGGAAAGTGGCTCCTGCAAGGTATAATTGCTTTAACTTTATATCTATGCAAGGAGGAAACCACTCCAGTCTGCTCTCACCATTAAGCACCTGTCCCTCACCCTGGTGGCGCCCTCTTCCCATGCTTTGGGCACACACGGCCAAGACAGAGAGGAAAAAGGTAGAGCTTTGGGGGCCAGCAATGCCAGAGTTGGAATTACCCCTCAGGGATCTACAGTGTAGTGTAATTACAAACTGCTTCCTCTCCAAAAAAAAAGGATGCATCACTTTGCAGATTACAAACCCTTGCTTTGCTTTTTATGTCTTTTTATTCTATTCTCTGCTAATTGGAAATCAATGACTGTGACTTGACCAAGCCCTGTGATGATAGCAAAGCCCCTTCTTCCAAAGTATCCCGACTGTCTGGGGAACCTCTGTGATCACTGGTAGAAAGCTTTAGAATAGACTTAGATTTTTAGGAAAGAACTCAATACCCCCAAAATGTTCCATGACTTCAATAACTGAAAACGCTCTGGGTGTAAAACAACCCAGAAATGTGGATTATATATGTTTTTAAAAAAAAAATGCCATTAATCAATATTTTCCTACAACATGACCTAGAATTCCTATTTTTATAATCAATGGTTGGACGATGGTCAGCCATTTAAACATATGCTCTCTGGAATAACCAGATACTAGTGTAGTTTCCAAAGTGTTTCATGTCTCAAAATCTATATACTTAGAAGAAGAACTCAGGATAAGAAAAAATCGCTAGGTCCCAAAGGGTTCATGACCATCATCAAATGCAACTACCGAGTGGCCTACGGTCATCTTTCTCAAATAAGGGGGCTGGGGAGCGAGAGAACAACAGTTACCACAAACCCTCCGTTGCCCTTAGTCCATGGTAAGGTTTAAAAAAACAAAACAAAACAAAACTCTACTTTTAAAAATTAAGCCATCTTTCAAATTGTTTTCTACACCAAATCTAAAATGTTAAAACGAAATTATAAAACATTTCAAATGGGGTATTTAGGAAATACTGTCAGTAGAAAGCATTGCTTTTCAGTGCCTGCTGAACGAGGTAAAGCCAGAAGGAAGAGCGAGCCGCGGGCCTTCCTGCGTGATGTTAATGACAGCGTTAACTAGACAGCGGCCTCATCTGGGCCGTGGGCACTAATTCCAGAGCAATGTGGCGACACTATCCGATTTTGAGAGATCTTTTGAACTACAATCTTACTACCATTTGGAAGTAAGTACTTGCTTACAAAAGGTCTTTAATATTAGTGAATGAATGTATAAAGTTACAAACTATGCATTTTCAAAGAGTAACTGTATTTTGTATCAAATCCAAGTAAATTTTTTTCATAGACTTATCACAAACACAAATTATTCAGAATAAACTTGAATGCATAACATTATGGGAATGTGGGACTCCCATCTATATTCTTCCAGCTGATATTTTTAAAGACAGTGCATTGAAATTTCAGACTCTAAACAACATCAGCTATTAAGGTAAATAAATAGGAAATGGTTTCTAGTTTACTTCTTAAGCAGAAATGAGAAATGCTGGTTGTTACAAAACGTGCCCGGTTTTTTTGAAGGTGGATCTTCTAGTAACGCTGGCTTAACAGGAAGACAAACCTGCATGAGGTGAATGCACATCACATTGGATAAATATAGCATTAATAGGTTATGTCTGTTGTGTTTAATTCTCAATCTGAGAACAAAAACTACTCTCCGAAGGGTTTGGGTTCTAGCATTTCAGAGAACAAAATATAAAAATGCTGTCCATCAGAGCAAATCATTAGGCTTTTTTCAAAATTACATGGAGATAATTACTTACATTTCTGGAACGTCCGTACAGAATATACACACGTTTCTTCAGCCTTCTTGCTGATTTTTTAATTCCATGAAACCTTTCCCCTAATAATTTAACCTTGCTCCTTAATTAGTACTTTCCTACGTTACTCCGCATGAAAAAAACAAAAACAAAAACATTCTTTCCCTTCATCTGACAATGTTGAAATAAAGAACTCCATTTCTCTGCCATTCTAGTTCTCTTCTCTGTCTGTTGAGAAAGTTTCTCAACTGTTTGTAGAACTATGGAAAATATGGAAAAACACACTTCTAAACCTGGTACTTATGGTTATACTGGATATGTTTGCTACCTATGTAGAAGTTTTTGGGGGTGGGGATGTGTCTTTTTATATGATTTTTAGCCAAATTCAGATGTTCTGATACTACATTTCTGAATACCTATTTGACTGTAAATACAGCCTGTGGAGGTTCCGGTTAATACACCTTTGACGTGACTGTTCCTCAGCCATGCCCAGTGCCAGCTTTCGGCACATTGTACATAGATTTGTTGGATGTTTAAATGATGTTGTTTTTTCTAAATGCTGTTCTCTAAAACAACTTTTTGAATGTTTTTTGCTTTCCATTGTTTGGGACTTTGTGTGTTGGTTTAAAAAAAAAAAAAAATGTTTCCTAAATATCTAACACCAGGAAAAAGATTTCAAATAAACTGGTGCTAACTGAAATAGAAGAAAAATTTCAGATGTGAAGACTTAGCATATGAAACATTCACACCAGTTAAACTAAACTGCACTTTCCCAAGGGGACAGCTGGTATCGACCTGCCGTGGCCATCAGGAGGACCACAGAATGTGTGTAGTTTCTGTGGCCCATTTAAGTGTAACGCATAAAAATGGCGCTGTCCCCCAGATTTGAGGATTTGCCACGCTGGTCCTATGGAAGCATTTAAGTAGAAGTAAAGGCTTAGAGTAAGAATCAATTTAGTAATAGTCTTCTGGTCTTTGGACTTTCATGTTCTGTAATGCTTAGCTGTAACAATGAATATGGTGTTGCCAATGTAGTCTGACATCATCGTTGACCTGTACTTACCGCGTGTATGGTTCTACCTTGGGTTGCACTGACACATGCCAAGCCGGAACACTGGACTTTCAATAAGACCATCCTGACTTCTACAGTGTCCACACACATGAATTGAAATGCACTTGTAACTGGTTAATTACCATGGAGTCTAACTTCCACTTAATAAAAGTTTTTGTGTATCTGCTTCTACTGGGGGGCCGTTTATTTAAGTAAAGGATAACTAACTTATACCCAAGAAAGGCTCACTGAGGACAGAGTGTTGGAGGTTTTACCTACAGTTGTGAACTTAATTTAAAACCAAAGGGATGGGGTGCTTGCTTGGGTGGCTCAGTTGGTTAAGCATCTGTCTTTGGCTCAGATCGTGATCCCAGGGTCGTGGCATCCAGCCCCGCACTGGGCTCCCTGCTCAGCCAGGAGTCTGATTCTCCCTCTGCCCCCTGCTCATGTTCTCTCTCACACTCTTTCTATCTCAAATAAATAAATAAAATCTTTAAGAAAAGAAAAAAGAAAAAAACAAAACCAAGGGGATGTCTTCCCCATATCAACATTCACCATCAAAGCTATCTTTAGAAATATGGAAGACACATCTGTCTTCTAGAGTTCAGCCCCAATAACTACAACTCAAACCCATTCCCTTGGCCATGACTGCCCAGATAAGTCAGCTGCTTGCCCTGTGCTGCTAGTCCTGCTGTACCAGGCATGTAGATAAAGCCTGGCAAACAGAGGAAAGGAGATGTCTATTCTGGTGCCAAGCCAGCCTGCAGACCCTCCCCCAGGCCAAGGCTGGGTCCACTAGAACTTGATATAGTCACCTACAAGAGCCAAGCATATGTATGTGTGCAGTGAGACAGCAGGCCACAGATTTGGGCACAAATCCAAGTTTTGCCTCTTGCAAGATAAATAACTAGACAAGGGATTTAACCCTTGTAAGTGCTGTCCTTATCATGGGACATGATAATGAAAAAGAGGAGAACAAATTAGCCTGGCTTGGGCAATATCTTTACCCACTCCTAGTCCAATCCTCCTTGGTTGGAGTGGGAAGGATTATGATCTCTGTCCTACTGCCTGTTTCAGAGAAGGTCCCACATCATGGGGCGATTGTGAGAACTACCTGAATTAACATGTCACCATGCACAGAGAAGTAGCCCACAAATGGAAGCCAAAATACTCAAAAACTGGAACCCTCAGACATCCAGAATGAGTGCTTTCAAACACCAGAATTTTCTTTTCAGTTTCTTAAAAAGATTCTTTCTAAAATAAAAATGTCCTGGCTTAGCAAATAGCTTACACAGCACATCTGGATGTTTTCCTGGTTACCCCGATCATCATTATTTCATCCATTCATAGAATGAGCAGTATAGATCAACCTATTCCAGAACTGAAGGACTGTGGAGTCAGACGCCCAGTGCCTTCTTCCATGCCAGCCCCAGCTCCATCCCCAGCCCCAGCCCCAGCACCGGCTCAGCTCCTGGTCACTGAACCCCTGTGATTTGCTTGTATTCAGCACATGGTACCCTGAGCCCCTTGTGCTTTCCTGAGATGTGCTAGAACAGGAGGAAGTAAGACTAGCCTTACTGAATTCCTACTGTGGGCCAGGTGGTGTACTGGATGCTTTCATGTGGTCAGCTCACTTAATTCCCACAACAGCTCTGTGTGTGGGGACTGTCACCCTCATTTTATCCAGAAGGAAACATCTTCCAAAAAAGTTAAGTAACTGGCCCAAGACCACACAGCCCAGGTGGACACCGGCATCCCTGCCCCTGCCCCTGCCCCTGCCCAGTGGATGTTCTGTGTCTTTAGGGACTATTAGCATATGAGTCTATTGTGACTTATCTAAAGCAGAACTCATCTCTTTTCTCTGTTTATTGGCTTTCCTCTACTCTTGAACCAGGCGTGGGCTACTCGTCACCCCATCACTGCTTCCCATTTCCTCCCAGTCATCCACCTTTTTGCCACCATTCATTCTCATCTCTTCTGGCTCCTCTCTCCCCAGAGTCCGAAGCCACTGCAGGGACAGCTGGGCCCCATATTCACACCGAACAGTTAGAGTTCTCCCTGTGCTTCCCCACGGCATGTCTGCCAGGCCCATGGCCACATGCATGCCAGCCCTCTTTCACAGCATAGCATCCTCAGGCCTCCCAAAGACGGTTTCCAGATAGGTAACTCCCAGCACCTACAGTTTTGCGATGAAAGAGGATGGACATAGCACCTCCATGAATGGGGCTCAAACTGCACCTGCTTGCTCCTCCCTGGCTCTCCCTGCAAGGCTCCAGGAAGCTATTCTCCGAGAGCCACTTTCAGAGGCTGTGTAGCCCTCAGGGTGGGAAGCAGGAGAAAATAATTGAGAATCGGGACTATAGATGTTGTCTTGCAAGGTTATGTGTAAATCATCTATTTGCAAAACACATTTTTACCAAATGCTCATTATCTAACGGGATGCTGCATAGCAAAGTCTCCTGAAGAAATGAATTATTTTACGCCACTGGGCATATAGGAGGTAAGCAATAAATTTTTTAATGAATAAATGAACAGACTGGTCAGAGCGTTTCTTCAGGCTCTGGATATGCTCTCTGCTTTCAATCTACCATTGCCCAAACAAAGCAAAGTGGGAGGAAGTAAGTGAACATTTCAAAGACTGCCATAGACATTTATTTGGCCTAAGTAGCATTTTTTAAAGTTTCTTTAGAACATGTACTTTCTCAAAACAGCCAACTCCCAATGACCATATTGATTACCTAATAATTACCCAACACAGGACAAAGGGTACAGTAACATCCACTGTTTTTAAAGTACAAATCCTTGCACATAGCAAAAATTCAATAAGCATGTAAGCAAAAAAAAAAAAAAAAAGTGCTTCTAAATGAACTAAATTGTGAAATAGGTCGGCACTATTAAAAGCATGCAGAGTGGGGTGCCTGGGTGGCTCAGTCATTGAGTGTCTGCCTTCGGCTCAGGTCATGGTCCCAGGGTCCTGGGATCGAGCCCCGCATCGGGCTCCCTGCTCCGGGGGAAGCCTGCTTCTCCCTCTCCCACTCCCCCTGCTTGTGTTCCCTCTCGCTGTGTCTCTCTGTCAAATAAATAAATAAAATCTTAAAAAAAAAAAAAAAGTATGCAGAGTAAATGGAAGGAGACCACTAGGATTTGAGTCAATAACTCAGGAGAGAGAATCTAGGCTGACACTGAGACGTAACAGACACTATGTTATAATGGGCAGCAGGCTGTTACCGTGATTGTTTATTTGCTCGTATCTAAGTAATATAAGTACATAGTAAAAATAAAAAGTCGAGGCAGTAGAAAGCTGATATTGAAAGCAGACCCCCGCTGCTCTGACCCCTTCCACCCCTTCATCATACGCCTAGAAGCAGCTATTTCCAACGCATTTAATTGTTTCTTCTAAATGATGTGCAAGTATTACCTGGCCAACAGGAAGACCAGCACAGGCTGGTATCCACGGCATCCAGAGCAAGATAGTCTCAGCCCAGGGGGAGGCTGCACAGCGATGCACAGGGGCCGGCAAAGGGCCCCGGCACAGGTGAGGGCCTCAGTTCCAAGGGTGCCGCTGTCCACAGTGGAGATCGAATGTTCTGAGCAAGACATGCGTGTTGCTGGCATCAAAACACTGGCCTACCGGCTGTTCCAGGAGTCTCTCATGAGTTTGCTGACTGGCAATCAAACCCCCAAAGTATGCTGAGCCCTGGATGACCTGAAAACAATCAAGCGTCCTCACCTCTAAATTAATCTGTAAACCAGCTTCCACACCAGACCAGAGCCTTCAGCCAACCAGCTGGCAAGTGGGTCTCTTACCATCTCTTTCATGGCGTGTTCACATGCCTGGTTTTCAGTCCATTCCTTATTTAGCTGATTTCATTATAATGCCCGAATCATCATGGGAAAGCATCTTGAGTCAGATTTTTAAAAATGGCTCCATGTAAAAGTTCCTCATTATTCACCCTGAGGCTATACCAGACATGCTGGGAACCAGTACGTGGTTGGTAGCATATAATAATCCCACTCAAACTAGATTAAGCAAACACAAGTGCGGAATTTACTGATAATAAGGATAAAGTGGCCAGGCCTCGTGGAGGCCTAGAAGCAAGGTTGAGAAAGCCACTGGGAAACACAAAAGCCATACTCCCTGCCTTTCCAGTCCCGTCCCCTCCCTGCAGTGGTGAAAAATGGCCACCAGAGGTCCACACTGAACTCACAGCACCTATCCACAGTGGCCTAGAATCATGGAGCCCCGGTCCCAAACTCAGGAATCACTGGCCCGGCTTGGGTGAGATATCTTCCCTCCTCCCTCGCATCAACGGGGCCTAGGGGAGGTGCGGTGTTAGGAATGGCAAAGGGTCCCTAATAAAAAGGTGTGAAGTTGGGAAGGAAATGATGGGTGGAGGAAATAATTAGCATTCCTACTACAGAATACAAAAGTCAGTTTTTCTCTCTAATACATATAATTATAGAATTTACACACAAGGGGGTATTAAAGATCATCTAACCTAACTCTTTTACTTCATAGATGAGATTCCTGACCCAAGAATGTCATTTTGCATTTATTACTGTTGTTTGATGTTAGTTTGTTTTCATAAGATTTTCTCATTTGCTTGTTTTCTGAAAAACAAGGTTGTCTATTTTCTTAAACATAACCATGCAGCACGTACAGGGTAGGACCATTGGAGCAAAACTACCTGAATTCAAACCCCAGCTCCACCATATACTGGCTGTGTGATCTTGGGGGTGTTAACTAACCTCTCTGCCTCAATTTCCTGCTCCGTAAAATGTGAATAATAATATGACCGACCTCCTATGAGTATTGTGCGTGCTAATGAATTAATGTGTGTAAAGTGTGTAGTGTGGGGCGTGACACGTATCGAGGACTATAAAAGTATCACGTGAGTCATTGACACCATCATCATTTAAACAGCTTGAGACAAATCATTAGCCAACAAAATCCTATCAAACCATTAGAACAAGAGCCGTTCGTTAAGTTGCAGTAAAGCTACAAGTTGATGCTTATTTCTAACAAAGATCATTTTTCCAACTTAGAATTCTTCTGCCCTACAAAAAAGTAAAAAGAAAATAAAATTACTGATAATTACAACACTCAAAAAAAAAAAAAGCATGGGTAGATTGATGCATTTTTTCAAACTAGTTCCATATATATTTATATGCATAGTTGTGATCACACTGTA